GAGAGAGAGAGAGAGAACTTGGCGATGCTGAAATATTGATATCAGCCTGGAAAACTGGGCTCGAGTTAACGGACAATAGAATTATATACGTGGGACGCATTGTGCCGGAAACGCTCCTCCATCTTTTCCCTTCTTCTCATATTTTATGAATTCTCTCTTCCCGGTGTGTTTTCCTAATTTTTTTTTCCACCCAATATTTTTCCACCAATCTTTTCAAGTTGACATGTTGTTTTCTACGATGCATACGTACTTTTTTTACTTATTTTTTTCCATTCCCCTCCCCTCGCTGCCAAAATTCGTTTCAATGAGTTACGTAAACATTCGCCACGGATCCCGCGATCGTTCATACGAAACGTGTCAACGTAATTCGATATCTGACACTTTGGAACACGTAAAATGACACCGCCATGACAGATTGCAGCGCCACCCTGCTTCCTTTTTAAATATTCGCTCTAACATATCTTCCGTTGATTCCTCAAGATTCTTTTCCCAACGGAAAGTTAAATGAGATCGAGCGCGCGAATTCTTTTTATTGTCTGAACATCGGGCAAATCCTCGAGCGAGTTCGATCGTCTGATTTCGTAATTCGTATAATATAATAGAAACGAGTGGACGAGTGAAAAATTCCATAGTACTTATTGTTATTATATACATGGATTATCGCTCGCGTTTAACTGGTGCGTCGCGTGTGGTGGATGGCGATCTGGCGCGGGATTGGATGGAAGGAGGAACGGAACGAAAGAAGAGAAGTATATGACTCGAATATGACTTGGAAGGAGAGAAAGAACGAGGATCGAACGCGTGCCAGGAGGTAAACGGGTAAACGGGTAAGCGGCCCAGCTTGCTCGATGCCTCCGTGGGAGCAAAGTGGTGGACTAAATTTAACTCGTTAGCCAGTAGTCGGTGACTATCTTACGAACGAGCGTGTCTTTATATCCATTTGACACGAGGAAACTTTGTTAACGTCGATCGAAAATTTGTAAAAGCGAAAATAAGTGAAAGGAATAAATCTTCTAGGATCTCTTCTAGGATATCCTCGATACATTTAACGTTAAACTAATTAAAGAAGTAACGTTTTATTCAACTCGTTTATCTCTGATCTTTCCTATTACCGATAAATGATATTATGTTAATAAATGTTAATTCTTTCTTCTCGTAACGTTATTTTATTATTATTCAGATCGTTAGGAATTTAGATATTAGATCTTTTCATTCGAACGAAAGAACGGTCAAATGAAATCAGGTGTTTTCTTTATGCAAGCAATGAAAATAAAAAATTGCACGACTATGTAATCGATCCGTATGTAAAAAAACACATTTTAAAATTTAACTTTTTTTAAAATTTATGATTGTAGTTATGTAATGTGTGTTTATTTTCTCGTCTAATGTATATTCAATAAGAATTGTAACAAAAATAAGGTTAGGTAATTACGAAATTAATTATGCGTGTAAAACGAAAAGCGAATACGAATATTATGATACACTTGTTCATAAATTTCACATATTTGGACATTTTGAATTGCGTAGATGTCAAAAAAGCATTTTAAAATGTAACTTTTTTTAAAATTTATGGTTTTAGTTTATTTTCTCGTCTAATGTATATTTAGTTGGAATTATACGAAAATTAAGGTTAGATAATTATGCGTATAAAACGAAAGGCGATTTTCATCGCGAATATGCGAATATTTCCAATATAAATGGGTGATACACTTGTTTAGGAAATACTTGGGCGTTTTGAATTGCGTAGTTGTCAAAAAAAAAAATTTTAAATGTAATTTATTTAAAATTTATAATTGTAGTGAATATAATGTACATTCATTTTTTTGTTTAATATCTATAATAATTGTAAGAAAAATAAGATCGGTAATTAATTATAATTACAAAGATTAATTATGCGTGTAAAAGGCAAAGTAAAGTTTTCATCGCAAATACGAATATATACTTTTGGATGATACACTTGTTTAGGCATTTTGAAAACGAATTGCGTAGCGTGTCAAAATTAGCTTCTCGAATAATTTTCGTGGAACAATCGATTTCTCGAAAAATACACCTTATATATATATCTCCACTTGATTTCGTAAATGTTCTTAACTATCGCTACGATCGATATTCGAAATTATTTCCCTGCTTAAATTAAACAAATTTGATCATCGCGGGAGCAAGAATTGTGCGATAGGCATCGATTTAAACGAGGCAATGATAGATCCATCATTCATTCCATCCAACGATTCCGTCCACGAGAGACGAGAAACTCGTTCGTGGATAGAGCTTTCTAGTATTCAAGCCCGCTAAATATAGCACGAGTCCCACTGTCAAATCCCAGATTCCCAAACTTGCCTCAAAACTCGACTCGTCGTATGGGTTTTTCCAACGAATCGGTTCAATTCCTCCCCTCCCCTCCTCTCCCTTCCTGTTCCTTTCGGATTATCGGCTGCTATCGCTTTCGAAAAGAGAATTCCGCCAAATTCATTCTCGAAACCTGTCTCTCTAAATTCTTCTCGCAACGAGAAAAAAGTGAGGATTTCGGTTTTCTCTCAGGATCCATCGATCCTGTTCGAACGAAGGCAACGAGACGAAAGATCGGCGGAAATTACGTATTCGATTGGAAGTTTTGGTCGGCCGGTCGCGTTTATATCGGCCGCGATAAAGCCACACACTTTAGAGATAGAAACGGGTAATAAATAGTATTATAAAAATGTGTTGTTCATCAGGTCACGGAGGGAGGTTGGAAAGAGCTCAGTGCCGTAGCATGCCGGCGAGCTGCAGCGGGTGGTGGGGCGTCTCTGAGAGAGAGCGTCGATCGGCGTCGTCAGGCGTCTACTCGGGCGTCTGCGTGGTCGAGCAGCGGAAGGGTGCCTACGCGAGTATAACAGGAGGAGGAGGAGGAGGCGGAGGCGGAGGCGGAGGAGGAGGAGGAGGAGGGGGAAGTAAGCGGAAGCGAAGGAGAAGGGGGCGGAGAAGAAGGAAAAGAGAGGAAGGGAGGGTGGTGAGGAGGAGGGACCGATGAGCGCGGGGGGGGATGGGGGCTCGGGGTTGGCCCCCCTGAGCTGGCGGGGGCCCAGCCGACTGCCGCGACCCCCCCCATCCTTGGCCGGAATCCCGAAACTGGCCAGGACGGACAGCAGGCCGCCACCGCGCAGTCTCAGACGGGGCAGACTCTTGGGACCAGCACAGGTGCCGCTGCCGCCGCCGCCGCTGCTGCCGCCGCGGCCAAATCTGCTACCAAAAGGCCGGCTCGCAGAGGTGGTAAAGCGCCGCCCGACAGACCAAACAGGACCCTCTTTTGTTTACCCCTTAAGAATCCCCTTCGAAAAATGTGCATCGACGTCGTCGAATGGAAGTATCCTTTTTTCTTTTTACCGGAAAGAAAGGCGTTCAATCTCTTCCTCTTTCACGTGGTAGTAATAGAAAAATCTATCCTTTATCGATCGTGCTCGATCTTCTTTATTTTTTCATCTTCGTTATAAAGTGGAATTTCACGTAAAAATATGTAAATATGTACGATATATGATTAATCCGCAATGCGACTATCGCGAGAAAAAGTTTTTTTTTTATAATTTTTTCTCGCATTTTAATCTCGTATTTAAAAAATCGTTCGAATTAAGGGAAACGCTCGTATCGGTTATATGCGGTAAAGATTGGATGGAGAGGGGGAGGGGGGGGGGGAATAAAAGTGGAAGAAAAAAGTTTTCTCATAACGCGGAATAGACCGAGATCGCTTCTTGTTTTTTCTTCTTTTTTTTTTTCCCTCCCATTTTCCTTAACTAGATCGTTTCGCGTTCACGCGCAACTTTTCAGACCTTTCGAGTGGCTTATTCTCATGACGATATTCGCCAACTGCATCGCCCTTGCGGTCTACACACCGTATCCCTACGGCGATTCTAATTTGACCAACCAATATTTGGTAAGTGAACCGCTTTCTCTTCTAATCTGTTCTCCCCTCCCTTTCCCCTTCGTTGTTGTTAACCGTTGAAAAATTCCGCTCGAGACGCTACACGCGACAGCTTTGCGGTGTATTCTCGTGTCTCTTCTTTGGAGGATTTAGAAAAAATTTCTAACGTAAGAAACTCCGTTTGACGATCCAACGATTTCTCTCTTCTTCTTTTTTTTTTTTTTTTTTCTCTTTCGACCACGATTTAACTACGAAAATATCCAACTTCGTCCAAGGAACTTCGATTAACCTAATAATAAAGAAGGTAATAGGAATAACGGATCCGTTCGTCGAACTAGCACGGGATTATCGATGAATAAACACCATGTCCAAGAGATAGGGTTGATGGCATGAAACTTATTCGAGGTGAAACTTCGATAATTGCTCAATCTTCCTAACATCGCCATCTATCGCGTTCCTCGCTATTATTGGAAAATATGATTCACGTAGTACACAATGTGTACATATATATATGTACAATTTGAACGAAAAGACCATACCTTTATGTACCATGCCATTTGTTTTTCGTAGCGATTGTGTGTTCCGGTTCGCAGACCATCAATTTTAACGTTTTCTCTTTACAATGCTCGTATTTCTTTTTTTTCCTTTTTTTTTTATTTCGATCACTACTCGATCGAAAAGCGCGAAATTAATTTATTAAAAGAAGAAGAAGAAGAAGAAGAAGAAGAAGAAGAAGAAGAAGAAGAAGAAAGAAAAGCGTTCGATCGTTGAAAGAGAGGAAAAAAAACGATCGAGGATAATTTGTCGAGCGTTGTACGAGAATTCGAGGGTTCGAAATTCAAGCTTGGATAGAATCGAAACTAACGAGCCCGTGTTCTGGAAAATGGATAAAAGGTTCTCCCTCGGATGGATAATACGTTAAGACCTAGCCTTCGAGACGAAGTATAAAACGTTTTACCAAAAACCGTTGGCCTTTTTCCACGGGTTACCGCAGCCAGAGAGAGAGAAAGAGAGAGAGAGAGAGATAGTAAAACGGTTGCGCGCCGCGTCAGCCCGGAAACTTTGGCAAAAAACATTTGATACGTTCGAGAGGCGTAAAGTTTCGTTTCAAGGCTATTGAGAGATATAAGAAAAAACTTCTCGACGGACGAACGCCAGCCAACTAGCCGCATTTCTTTTTCTTCTTCTTCTTCTTCTCTTTTTATGAAATTTCGCAGAAAAATTCGTAAACATAAACGCAATTTTTTTTAATATTCTTCGAAACCTTCTACAACGTTGTTCGTTGATTCGTGACGGATCATTGAACGCGACGAGAATTTCAATTCTCTCGTTATTTAAGGAAGGATTTTCCCTCTTCCGTTGGAAAATTTACGTCACGGGTCCTCTCCACTCCGATATTCATTCCAACGTGTGCCAAGAACAGCGTACAACGGACAAGTGGGTGTGAAACGGTGTTGATCGGCCATTGATAATTCGCACGCGGCATAAGTGGAGACTAGTATACCTATACGTATCTCTATCTCCCGTTACTATATCGTACAATAGCGACTGTTTGAGACACGAAATCGAAAAGGGATTGAAACGACAGGCAAATAAACAGACGAACGGAAGACTTTCTCTTCGGAATTATTTAGGGGATTGAATCGGTTCAAGTTGGTTGATGACGATTGGTTGGTGACATCGAAGGGAGCAATGTATCTCGCGTGTCGCTACTCTCTTTCTCTATGTTTCAGGAAAAAATAGAGTATATATTTCTTGTGATTTTTACGGTCGAGTGCGTTATGAAGATCATCGCTTACGGCTTCGTGGCTCACCCCGGGGCTTATCTTCGAAACGGCTGGAACATATTAGATTTCTCGATAGTAGTGATAGGGTAAGTAAAATCGATTTTCAACGATCAATATATAAGATAAAACTCGAACTAAGATACGTGAGAGTAAAATTCATTCGATTCGAAATTCGTAAATTTCAAATCTTGCGAAGATTCTTCACAGAACTTTTATTCATTTTATATAAATATAAAAGTGAATCGTTTCCAATCGAATTTTTCTAATCTAAGGAACGAAAAACGATCGGATTTGATATTTTATTTTACAGAATGGTGAGCACGGTGTTATCCGTGCTGATGAAGGAAGGATTCGACGTGAAAGCGTTAAGGGCATTTCGGGTGCTACGACCTCTCAGGCTGGTTTCAGGAGTACCAAGTAAGATCGTAAAATCGCGCGCGCGCGCGCGCGCGAAGAGACAGATAATTACGCGTCCGCGAGACGAAGGGAATAAGGGAAAAAAACGAGACGTGACGAATGGGTGTGTCGATCTCTGTGTGTGCAGGTCTGCAAGTGGTCCTAAACTCTATTTTAAGAGCGATGATACCCCTCCTCCACATCGCTCTCCTCGTTCTGTTCGTCATCATTATTTACGCCATCATCGGCCTCGAGCTCTTCTCCGGCAAGATGCACAAAACGTGCAGGCACAATATGACCGGTGAGTATGATATCGAAAAATCGAATTTCGAATCGGGGGGAGGGGGCTCCTCCCCCCTTATTAACCTTATTAACCTCGTCCAAATCTTCCCCGCTTTGAATTTGCATCGCCGCTCTTTTAGATATGATTCACCCGCGGCAAAAGTGACACCGTTTCTAATTATTCTTAGCCTGCCAGCATCTCTTCGTGGTAAACAGCTGATTCACGAGAATTTTGCCAATTACCTGTCCAACGTACCTATGACGCGAGAGCTTTCAGATTCAATTGTATCGCCAATATAAGGATATATAATAAATTTGTAATCGCTGTTGCTCCTCAATATGATATTTCATCTCAAGGTGAAACATAATCTATAAACGCTGCTAAATTAAAATTCTCGTCTGTATATCTCGTCTAATATAAATATACATATTATTATAAAATAAAACGAAGCTCTATTTATATTAATTTAGAGGAAAAAGTGATCCTGAATTTTATATCTTATATCATAATATTAGTAATATAGATCAAAATCACCATCACCGTTGATGAAAAAAAAAAAAAAAAATTTTTTACCATATTTTCCAATCGTGGAAATTTTCACAGATGCGATCATGGACGATCCAGTTCCTTGCGGGCCGGGCGGCTACCAGTGCGACAACGTGGGATCCGACTATTATTGCAGCAAGCAATTTTGGGAGGGGCCGAATTGGGGCATCACGAATTTCGACAACTTCGGCCTGGCCATGTTGACCGTCTTCCAATGCGTCACCCTCGAGGGCTGGACCGAAGTGCTTTACAACGTGAGTGGTGGTGGCGGAGGATCGATCCGTGACCTGTTGCAAACATTCTCAAACACTCTTCCCTCCCATTTCCCAGATCGAGGACGCGATGGGAAGCTCGTGGCAGTGGATTTATTTCATCTCCATGGTCATACTTGGGGCTTTCTTCGTTATGAATCTGATTCTCGGTGTTCTGTCCGGGTGAGTGTATCGATTCTCTGGCAAGATTGAAATTATTCACCCCTGAAAATCCATGAATTCGAAAATTTCGTTATTTTTTTAACCATCAGCGAGTTCTCAAAGGAGAGGGAGAAGGCGAAGGCGAGGGGCGACTTTCACAAATTGAGGGAGAAACAGCAGATCGAGGACGATCTGAGAGGTTATCTGGACTGGATCACGCAGGCGGAGGACATCGAGCCGGAGACCGACGAGCCGAAAATGCAGGACGGGAAGAGTGCGTACTCCTTTGAGTAAAAAGAAAAGGAATCGAGGAGGAGGAGAAAAATCGATAAAATCGACTTTATTGCAGCGAAACAACAGAGCGAAATGGAGAGCACGGACCAATTGGAGGGTGACGAGGAAGGGGTGCAACAGGAATCTCTGTGGAGAAGGAAAAAGCTGGATTTCGATAGGTAAGAGGATCGAATTTTTCACTTTCGTTCGTATTTGCATTTGTGATCAACTCTTTGCGCTCCAACGGCGGCGGTATTTATTTAGTTTAATTTTTTCTTTACTTATAATCTTATAAAGCGTATAATCTTATAGAATAATATCAGGGTGTTCCATAAGTTTCTTTCGATGGGAATGAGTTTTTAGTGGCTATATTTATATAAACATTCAGGCTTATTTATTAGCCGTTTATGAAATATTTTTCAGTCGTCTATCTTACATTTCATTATTATAAATACATATATTTACATTAGTATTACATTCGAGAGATTATTGTTACAATGTTTTTTTTTTTAGTTTCTGCTTAAATGTGTATATATAAAATAAAATAAATAAATAAAAGATAATATATACATATATATAGATTTTCACTGATTAAGATGCAAATGTATTTATTTCGTATCAAAAAAAAAAAAAAAAAGAAAAGAAAGAAACTTATGGGACACCCTAATACTATCGAACGGTTAGATTTTTTTATCTCAAATTAGACCGTGATCCACGGATCACTGGTTAGTTTCGACGATCAATGGCAATAGAAATATTATTTTCAAAGTTTCTGAGTTTCGAGTTGAATAACGAAATTATTTCTATTTGTTAAGAAATTGACGATAGAGAGAAAAAAAATAGAGATGTAGTACAAAAAGATGAAAAATGAGAATAGTATATAGTGAATGTGAGAGCACATGTTGTTGTAAGTTGTTTGTAACGACATTTCATCGCGAAACTTGATACCTGACGAACCGAGGACGCAACTTGGTAATTACTTTATTATTAAAACTTCACGCGAAACAACAACAATATAGACTTTAATATTCGACAAATTTTCTTTCTTTATACGTAAAATATCAAAATATAAAAGTTTTATTTTAAGTTATATTTTATTATATGTTGGTTCGCCTGGAGTGCGAAGACATTAAGACAAGAGAATTGAGAAGAGTAAAGTGTTTTGTATCGTTTACACTTTTATCGCGCGTAACGAAAATTCACAGAGTGAACAGAAGGATGAGGAGGGCCTGCAGGAAAGCCGTTAAGTCGCAAGTTTTCTATTGGTTGATCATAGTGTTGGTTTTCCTGAATACCGGCGTCCTTGCGACCGAGCACTACAATCAACCTCATTGGTTGGACGATTTTCAAGGTATGGAAACTATAAATCGAATTTTATATATCTCTTCTATATATATCCACGATACGATATATATATATATGTACACATGATAAGATATATTATTTTTCTTCTTTTTTTTTTCGGTTCACACAGAAATCACCAATATGTTTTTCATCGCGTTGTTTTCCATGGAAATGATGCTGAAAATGTATAGCTTAGGATTCCAAGTAAGTTTTCGCGCGAATTTTTAAAACGATCATCGTTCCATCTCGATCGACGAAAAAAATCTCTGTTTTTCTTTATCTCGTTAACTCCAGGGTTACTTTGTCTCGTTGTTCAATCGTTTCGATTGTTTCGTCGTGATCGGCTCGATCACCGAGATGATCCTCACGAATACTCACGTGATGCCACCGCTCGGCGTTTCCGTTCTCCGTTGCGTCCGGTTACTCAGGGTATTTAAAGTGACAAAGTGAGTAAGTTTCTTTTTCTCTCCCTCTTCGAAATAATTTTTTTTAAATCCTTGTTTTTAATCACGAATTATATATATATTCGATGTATACTATATACGATAATATATTACATATATTCGATTTAAGTTATTCAATCTTGTAGATATTGGAGGTCGTTGTCGAATTTGGTGGCTTCCCTTTTAAACTCTATACAATCGATCGCGTCTCTGTTGCTTCTGCTCTTCCTTTTTATCGTGATCTTTGCCCTTCTGGGTATGCAGGTATGATATAATCGTAATACAATCTTCATAGTTTTTAGATTTTAATTAATTATTTTTATTAATATTAATTTTTTTATTATTGATTAATTATTTCGTCAAAACATATTTTTTTTTCTTTTTCTTTTTATTTTTTTCACAGGTGTTTGGCGGAAAATTCAATTTTAACGTTTTAGAGAACAAACCTCGTCACAATTTCGACAGTTTCTGGCAAAGTTTGCTGACCGTCTTTCAGGTAATTTTCTATCTTTCCTTATAACCAGTGACGGGGAAAATTTGAATAGTCGAAGTGTTACGAATAAAGTCATTTGAATTTAATTTTATTTCGATCGAAACGTAATAATAATTGCAAAGATTGTGCGAAAAGTAATCACTCAACCCCTAGGCTACTGTAACCGCCTGTGAGGCGCCCTGAAAATTTTATCGATAATTATTCCGATAAATCTTATCTCAATTCTTAGACGAAAGTGAATTGAATGCTGATTTCGTTGTTACATATTCCGTGAAAAATATAGGAAAAATCTAAGAACAAAAAAACGCATTACGAAATAAGAAATGATGTAGGATTATGTATTTATATCCATACTTCGAATCACACTTTACCAGATCATTAGATATATCGTGAAAAAGAAGGCTTCACATTAATATCAAATTTTTAATATTTATAACAGCAAGTTAGGTTAGAGTAGGCAGAGTAAAAAAAAAAAATGAACAATATTGTTTTAAGTGTTCTAATGAAATTCAGTTTTTTGATTATTGAAATATTTTAATAAATATATATTTTTTATATTATTCCTGAACCGTATGGTGCGTCTCAAAGTCTAGGTATTAAAGCAACTTTATTCGACATTTTTAGTTCTTTAGTTCTACCTTTTCACTGCCCAACTCTGTTTACATCTTTAACCTTGCACGTGTCGTATTCTCATCCCCTCTCTCTCTATGTTCGACTCTGTAGATACTAACCGGCGAAGATTGGAACGCCGTTATGTACGATGGGATCAGAGCGTACGGCGGTGTTTCGAGCTTTGGCATGCTCGCCTGTTTCTACTTCATCATTCTCTTTATATGCGGTAATTGTATCCTTTCTTCTTCGAGCAAAAAGTATACGGAGGTGATAGAGAAAAAAAAAAACCGTTAACTATTCCTTGACCAAAGACATATCGCAGATATCCTGCTGAACGTGTTCTTGGCTATCGCTGTTGACAACCTTGCGGACGCCGAATCGTTAACTGCCATCGAAAAGGAAGCCGAGGAAGAGGTGAGCGATTCTTTTTTTTTTTTCGTTTCCAAAAAGAAAAAAAAAATTTTTTTTCTTCAAATTCTTAAGTTCTATTTTATATATAGTATACAATTATATTTCAATTAATCCTACAAATTATTATTATTAACACGTTCGTCATCCATATTTTATTAATGTAAATATATGTATAATAATAGAATGTAGGATAGCGACTATATATGATGACATACGAGTGCAAAAGGTTAAAGCGGAATTTTAAAAGAAATTTAATGGAACAAGCACTGAAATATAAATATAAAATATAAAATTGGAATCATAGAATTTGAAATTTAAGAAGAATAGAAACAAAAAAGTGGGACAAGTATGATCTGTTAGCGAATCATCTTTTATACAATTTTAAATCTAAAATTATCTCGTACGCGGTAACGTAGGAGGGTGTTGTTACGAATTTCCGCCGATAATACAGAACTGAATTGAAGTTGGTTGACAGCCAATCAGAGACTTATATTCAGACCAGAATACTTAAAATCAACTTTAGAAAGTCTTAGAACGTTGAAACGGTCGAAGTAAGGAGCGAAAAAGTAAAAGTAAAAATGTTAAGAACAATTGATTCAGAATTACAGGTTAATGAAAATTAAGAACTGATAAATATATATAAGTATACCCTAACTAAATTTTATTTTAAAATATACAAAATAAAAATATTAAAACTATTTCAGTTTACGTTCAGGCTTTCCGACAGTGAGATATGATTCATTAAACTTAATAGTAACTATTATAACAATAAAAAATTTTTCATTAAATTATTTTAAAAAACAAATTTCATTATTTCCATGATCAGTATTTATTACGGCTATTTTATTAATTATATTAGTTTTAGCTGGTAGTGCTATTACTATATTATTATTCGATCGAAATTTTAATCATTTTTTGATTCAATAAGAAGTGGTGATCCAATTTTATATCAATATTTATCTTGATTTTTTGGTCAAGTTTTATATTTTAATTCTTCCAAGATTTAAATTAATTTCTCATTGCAATAAATGAAAGTGGAAAAAAAAAGAAATTTTTGGAAATTTAGGAATAATTTATGCAATATTATCGATTTTTAGGATTTATCATCTGAGCACATCATATATTTACCGTTGGATCAGAGAAGCTCAACTTCACGCTGGGTAACGACGAACGTGTTATTAAAATGTTGTATCGGTTGAAAATAATTTCACGAAAAATCAAATTGAAATCATGCCGTGTTTATTATTTTATTTAATCCGAACAACCGTTCGACAGGAGGATCGTTTGCTCGTTTGCGTTTAGTTAGTATTAGGTATCGAAGAAAATTAGAACACCGGTCGTTTTATCATCTCTCAAAGAGGGATTCGAATCGAGGGAGGAGGAGGCGTTCGTAATCATGGACGACGCCGCGACGCCATCCTCGCCGACGCTGACGCCATCCTTGACGCCTGCTTCGACTTTTTATCACCTCTTTTTCTATACGCGTCTTAAACCTTATACCTTGCGAAATATTCGACGTGTCATAATTACGGGCGAGTTGTGTATCTAGGTCGTTTCCACGCGATGGAAATATTTTTAATTACACTCCACGGATAGTTTCCTTCGCTTTAATCGTCCTACGTGAGACCATTATTCCTCGTCCACAACTATTTTCCACTTTTTATTTGCCGGACAAATTTTCCAGGTTTTAGTTGGAGTTGAAAAAAAAGGATTAATTGAAAAAAGAAAGGTTAATTTCTCGTTGGTTCGAATAATACAAGCTGACTGGACAAAATTATTCTTTCACAGTTTTTATTATGATTTAGATTTAATTTTTAGAAGACAATATTGCTTTTTATTGTTTTCTCACTAAAAATGTGTATAACGTAAAATATGTGACTAAATATACAAAAGAAATTAATGTTGGGTTTAATTAGTACAGAATAAAAAATATATAAATGTACAAATATTTGTTAACTCTTACATAATCGCATAAAATATCGTGATGCAGATGCAGCAAAAAAGTAGCAAGCATTCAACTTAGAAAGCTTTGAATAATGTACAATAAACTGCACTATGAGAATTGGAATTCTAAAGAAACAGAAATTATTATTAAGAAAAAATTAAAGCAAGAAATATGGCTATTTGCTACGGGATGTCCACGATAATCCTATTTTATAAATTACCTAATAGATAGATTGGTCGATCAGTTATCCGATTAGTTTAATCTGTTCGAGAAGAGCGATTTAAAATCTTAACGACATATTCGAACCACCGTATCTATTCATTTCGTGATTTTTAATTGACCGTTTAACCGATCGATGAAAACTATGTCATCTTCTTTAATCGCGATACGCTTGGACGCTCCCAACTACGAGTTAGATACAAAGTACGCACGTAAAATCGAGGTCACCGCAATCGAATACCGATACTTGGAAATTAAAACAATTACGTATCTGGAAACGTTCCCTCCATCATTGTCAACTCTTCTGTTCATCCCATCAGACTGCCTGTCACAATATTTCGTGATAAAAGTTCCATATATATATATATATAGAATAATTCGTACGTGAAAGTCGTAGCAAGGATGAAGAAGGGAGAGCATTGTCATCATCATCATCATTCTCGAGCCTATTGCCAAGTTTCATCACGGCCCCTGTACAGCTTCGCGCTAAAAGTTTAATCGTTCGTGATTTTTCGATAAACTAATGAAAAATCGATAATAACACTCGAGTAATAACCTCGAGGGGTCGATTATGCTTCGATGCCTCCTTCGATGTCAAATTTATCGCGATCCATGGGACGACGTTTCTCATTTCAGTTTAAATAGGGTCACCGAGTCAACGTCTTCCCCGCTAAAATCGTCTTGAATAAACGCGAGATCGAACTTGTTCCGTTCTAACGAAAGAAAGAGAAAGAAAAAAAAAATATTCATCTTCGCTTTTCGATAAAATTTCGATCCATCGGTTCATTTCCAGGCGGAGAAAAATAAATCTCACAGCGCCTCGCCGACCAGGGACAAAGATAGCGGGGAACAAGGCGATGACGGTGGCGAGGGAACCGGGGCCGAGGACGAAGGTGGCGGGACCGATCTTGAACACGATCCGAACGAGACGATGGAGGATTACGAGGCAGCTGTCGATACTGAAACGTAAGCTTTGTATTATACGTACACAATATATGTTTATAAAAATGTGGGACACCTTTGGAGGTGGATTCTAGACATCAAAACGATAAAAAAAGTTCATATACACCTATGTCCGATAAGGCTTGATTAAAGAGTTATAAGCATTTTAAGTTTGTATTAGATAGAGCGAGACAACGAAAGAGCGAGAACGATCAGGGGTGTGCGTATTGCAATGTCGCTTGCGTAGCGGTGCCCCTCGATGAAAGTAAATATACCGATACTTTTTCATTCATTACAATTGATTATTTCAAATAAATTTTAGTGTAATGTAATATTATGTAACTCCTTATTACAAACATATTATTTGAATTCATAGTTGTATGACGCTCATGATCTGCCTACTTATCGAAATCTATCTAGAAGCAAAATACACTCCCATAAGATTCGTCATATATAATTCCAAATACCATGGAATTTGTTATTGATTTGTTTGAGGTAAATTTCTATTAAATAACTAATATAGATAGATTTTAATTTGCATAATTAAAATTTTTTTAATCGATATTTATGTATATTATATATTATCTTATATTGAAATTCGTTTCAAATAATCAATTGTATACAAAAAAATGTCAATATATTATTTTCATCGAGGGGCTCCGCTACGCAAGCGACATTGCAATACGGTACTGTCGCACAGCCCCAGCTGAACGTTCTCGTTCTATCTATAATACAAATGCTTATAACTTAACACTAAACTTACCGACAGTTCTCGTATACCTATTCCTACCGCGCTCGGTCAAAATATGCTTAAAAAAGTTTTTATGATTTAACATAGATAATGGTTAATTTATTATTCAATTATAAACATAAAAAACCAAAACTTCATTTTTCCCATATATTTCTGAAAGATTTCTGAAATATATCTAATTAATAAATCAGACTTTACAGTCTAACACATTTAAAATTATTTATGGAAAAAAAAATTTAACTTTTATTTATACAGAGATATATCTTATATAGTTTCGCTGAGTAATTTTTTACAAATTATTTTATTCTCAAATATACACTCGCCGTATACATATTTCTCGAACAGATTTTCGTAATATTTCGCTCGACAAGTTTTTCGTACATACGAATCTGAACTTGTCGATAGTTTTAGTACATGATTTTCTTGATAATTGGAATAAAAATTCCTGTCTTGAAATATTTTCACCCTTATATATTCACAAGCCTTATCAGACATACGTCCCACATTTTTATAAACACTGTTTATATATACACTTTTTAAATGGATCGATCAGCCTCGCGAGTTATAATATTTGCAATTAAATGAAATGCAGGTCGGAGAAAAGCGACGACATGAATACTCACGCCAAGGTACGATTGAACATAGAATCGGACGAGGAGGTGGAGGAGGAGGAGGAGGTGGAGCACAATGAGATGCACGGTTAATTTCTTCTTCTTTTTTTTTTTCTTTCAAATATATATATCTTTATTTACCAAATCGTATCCTTCGTAACGAAAATTATCGATCCAGACGATGGGACGGAGCAAGGAGTGTCTGCCAGGCCGCGAAGGATGTCCGAATTTAACATGGCCACCAAGAAACAACCGATTCCGGCCGGTTCGGCTTTCTTCATTTTCTCGCAAACGAACAGGTACAAATATGCTCCTCCTCTACTCGATGTTCTCTGATTTCTCTGAATAATTTTCAATTCTTTTCATCCCTTCTCCCCTCCACTGTTTCAGAATTCGAATATTCTGCCACTGGCTGTGCAATCACAGCTACTTCGGCAACGTGATCCTCGTGTGCATCATGATATCCTCGGCTATGCTGGCGGCCGAGGATCCTTTACGCGCCTCCTCCCCCAGAAACTTGGTAAGAGAGAGAGAGAGAGAGAAAGAGAGGGAGAGACGATCGTTCCTCGAATCAACCGGTTCACCATCGTGTTTTCGTTGCTCGTAGGTTTTGCAGAAGTTCGACTATTTCTTCACCACTGTATTCACGATCGAGATCTGTTTAAAGATGATCTCCTACGGTTTCATTATACACGAGGGTGCATTCTGCCGATCGGCGTTCAACTTGCTCGATCTTCTGGTCGTGTGCTCCTCTCTGATCTCAATGTCTTTCAGGTAAGGGAATCTCTCTTCCTCGACCGAGGGGATAATATATATAATTATTGTTTGTTTTCATCATCTGTTTCCAGTTCCGGGGCATTCTCCGTCGTCAAAGTTCTTCGCGTGCTGCGCGTGTTGAGGCCTCTACGCGCCATCAATCGTGCCAAGGGATTAAAGGTATCTTTCTTTTCCTCTTGCGTTTAATAAAAAAAAAAAACGGACGAACCTGGATAATAGTAGCATACGCAGCCCCGATGTAGATGCAACACGTTTCCGCGAGTGAAGTGAAGAATTTTTTTTCCTTTTTTTTTTGGTTTTCGGCGACCGAAGTCGCGGTTTTTAAAAATTAACGCGGCAATAATGTGTGCATACATCTTATGCGTTTCAATTTTCGCGTCGCAGAGGAAATCAATTGGACAAAATGGAATTTAAAATTACGCATCTGACAGATCGATAATTCGTTTCTCTTTCCTCTTTATTTATTTTTGCGTTTCCTTTGCGATTCGAAAAACGTAAAAAAAAAATTAAAAAGTAAAAAAAAAAAGAAAATAAACAGAAACGAGACGTAAAAAGTAAAAAAAAAAGTAAAATAAGAAAAAAAAGACGAGCGGTGTCCGACGATAATAATAATAATAATAATAATAATAAAAAAATTAATCGGCACACGTAATCTGATTTCTGTAAAAGAGCGAATCTATATTATGATTAATGTTGAACCCAGCACGTAGTACAGTGCGTCATCGTAGCGGTAAAGACTATCGGAAACATAGTCCTCGTCACCAGCCTCCTGCAGTTCGTGTTCGCCGTCGTTGGCGTACAACTGTTCAAGGTAGGATTGCCAGGCCCCGCACACTAATCAGGTCCTGGGACATTCCTTCCAACCATTCTCTCGTAGTACTATTAGAGTGGCATAATATACAACCAAAAAAAAAAAATACCGGTTACCCCCCCCCCCCTCTTGACCCTCAGACCCCCCCCCCTATACCGCCCTCTTTCGATCCGATATACGTATATGCATATATTATTATCATTCTCGTTCATTCATTACCTCACATACGTTTTGATGCAACGTCGAAATAATTCACCATCACCAAATTCACTATTATATCTACTACTATTACTACCAATTCGTCTACCACCTCGGTACGCCTTTGCTCGACATCCCTCGACATTTTTCTTCGACGATTATATTCGCCACTTTTTCGATTCCGAGTCTTTTTTTTTTCTTTCAATCTCGAAAAAGCCAGTCATTTTTCTAGCCAATAACGAATTACGAACGAAGGAATAATCGTCGAGAGATGCGGGCACGAAGCAGACGTTGTTTTTTTCCGACAGATGCACCTTTGGGTACCTTCCCTGAAAAAACGAGCTGTTTGCGTATATATAACTTCATTGGGTTTTTTCTCTCGACACTATCTCCCCGATACCTATCACTGGGATTACCTTGATTTCTTCATTTCCATCTACTACGTTTTTTCTTTCTTTCCACCGATATATATATATATATCATCCAACGATCGTTAACGATTTTCCCGGATTTTAGCGACAACTATTTTAAACGGTTTATTTTAAACGGTTTTTTTTAACGCGTTTCGGTTTACGGGACGATAGATTGCGAGACAATATCTTTAACGTGTCTATATACCGATTCGCATTTGTTAATCGAGCCGTTTCGAGTCTCGTTTCACCACGTTTCGACACAATTAATTATTTCGGGGCGATTGCGACGATGAGCAATAAATGAACGCTGCGTGTCAGATTTCTATCCGTGGATTCTTACCGTGATCTGTACAGAAAACTAACTGTTCGTTCGGGACAAACGAGAGAGAACGCGCAGCGAGGTTTTTGTTCCTTTCGCGCATGCGCGAGATACGTTCGAGATAACGATTCGAACGATCGTTCGAGATCATCGATAATCGACGGATTGACGATATATTTTTTTTTATCGCGATAACATAACATAGCAGGAGAGATGAAGCAAATATATCCGACGATCAAACTTTTTCTCACTTTTCATCTTTTTTTGTTCCATTTCGAGCAGCGGATATTTTATATACCACATATATGTGTATATTATGCTATGTTACGGCATGCCGATGAAAAGTAATGTATCGAACATTTTTCGTATATTCATACATACATACGTAGTAGACGAGTAACCGGGGAGGAGATGAGATGGTAGCTCTCAAAAAAAAAAAAAAAAAAATAAAAAATAAAAAAAAACGACGTACGTAGATAGAGGCGGAATGGAAGATCGCACATATTACATTTACATATTATCTATATATGTATATGTGTATGTGTATACATATTGTCACCATTTTTTAAGGAGGAAACAAAAGTTTTATAAAAGTTGGCTTTTTTCGCAAGAATTTATATCGTAATATGGTCTTTGGTCTTTCGACTTTAGCTTCCGTATCTTCGTTGTTTATTTCTCCTTTGTCGGGACATTTACGATTTTCTTTGTCTCTCTTTTCCTCTCTTTCTCTCTCTTTATCTTTCTATCTCTCTTTTCCACTCTTTCTATCTCTCTTTCTGTCTCTCTCTCTCTCTCTCTCTCTCTTCCTCTTCCTTTTTTCTTTTCACATTTATTTCGTCGCTCGAGACTCTCTCTTTCTATATATATATATATATAGCTTCATCTTTTTTTGTTCCATTTCGAGCAGCGGATATTTTATATACCACATATATGTGTATATTATGCTATGTTACGGCATGCCGATGAAAAGTAATGTATCGAACATTTTTCGTATATTCATACATACATACGTAGTAGACGAGTAACCGGGGAGGAGATGAGATGGTAGCTCTCAAAAAAAAAAAAAAAAAAAATAAAAAAATAAAAAAAAAACGACGTACGTAGATAGAGGCGGAATGGAAGATCGCACATATTACATTTACATATTATCTATATATGTATATGTGTATGTGTATACATATTGTCACCATTTTTTAAGGAGGAAACAAAAGTTTTATAAAAGTTGGCTTTTTTCGCAAGAATTTATATCGTAATATGGTCTTTGGTCTTTCGACTTTAGCTTCCGTATCTTCGTTGTTTATTTCTCCTTTGTCGGGACATTTACGATTTTCTTTGTCTCTCTTTTCCTCTCTTTCTCTCTCTTTATCTTTCTATCTCTCTTTTCCACTCTTTCTATCTCTCTTTCTGTCTCTCTCTCTCTCTCTCTCTCTCTTTCCCTCTTCCTTTTTTCTTTCTTTTTTCACATTTATTTCGTCGCTCGAGACTCTCTCTTCTTATATATATATATATATAGCTGGAAGACTGAATATCGAAGATACGCGGATACGAAAAGAAGAACCGTTGTCGAACATTTGCAAAATGGGGGAGAAAAATTGAATTTGTCGATTATTTGGACGAGCGAAAGCGAGAGAAAGAGAGAGGAGAGAGAAGAGAGAGAGAGGATATTTTAATCGACAACGGTTGTTCGAACACGTACGCGTGTATCGAGACACCGATACGACACGGTTACGACACGACACGACACGACACGATATACAGAGAGATTGATGCAGGCTGCGTGGTTGAAAAAAATCGGACAGTAGAGAATTTGTTTGAAAAAAAAAAATTTGCATGCTTGTGTCGGCTGAGCAGTTGCAGTGGTGTGTCGCTATTATTAACACAGAGAGAAAGGAAAGGGAAAGGAAGGAAAGGACACACCGTTTTTCAGAGATTCCAGGCCAGAATTTCGTCGAGATGATGTCTCTTGCAATTGCCTCGAAACGAAGCATCACGGCATTATTCACCACTCTCCATTCGATCTCTACCCGCAGGATTTTTCCGTTTCCGTTTTCGAGGACACGTTTAGGAAGGACAATATCCGCTTTCCCCTTATATATATATAATATATATATAAATGTACATAGATTCGTGTTTGGTAGTTTCGATAATTCGATGATTAGATTCGGATTAAAATGTTAGATTTGAAAAGCACACATGTACACACACACACACACACACGGGAAGAAAAAAAAAGCTTTAGAGAACAATTTAGACGAGTCGTAGTAGCATAGTAATTCCACCTTCGTTGCTTCGTTTTATTAATTAGAGCTAGATCGAATTAGAGATAAGCAGACCGTAGCAGCGAGAGACGCGCGCATCGAGTTTGCACAACATCGTTATCCTTGTCTATCCAATTCGATTTCGCACAACGACCAATCCCAATCGTAATCGCCGCCGAATACTCTTCTTCGCCGTTTCCTTCCACTCGTAAAGAAAGATTGTTCAAGTTTCCCAAGGATACGTGTTTTGAAGTTTCGTTTTAATTTTGTTGAAGGAAATTCGAGTGGAAACACGTGTCCTTGGCGCTGTTTTGAAACGCTCGAGAGAAGTTTCGCCGCGTCACGTGATGAGTAGTGGGAACACGTTACACGTTGAAACGGAACGTAGAATATACCACCGTAGAATATCGTGAACGAAATATCACGCGAGGTGTTTAGTTGCACATAACATGTTTGCGATACTAACAATCATTTTTTTTTTCCTTTTTAACAAGCGAACTAGATTTGTCTGTCGTCAAAACGAGAAAAGAACGTCCCTCCTAGTTTGGTTTTGCTCGAATATTTGAGACACAATGCTTCCATTAACTAAAAAAATAAAAAGAAAACAAAAAAGAAAACACTCCAACCAAACACGCTTCAAGGAATAACAAATTTTTGTACGAATATACGTCATATACGCTGTTGTCGGAAAATTATCCCTTTTTCACTCTTTTCTGACGGTTAAATATAATTGTGAAAGCGATAACAGCGTATGTGGCAACGATCGGTCGTAAACGAAGAAGATTGCGATCGAAATTCGCGATAAGAGGCGAGAATTATTTCACTCGATCGTCGACGACGAAAAGCGAGATAATCACGATGAAAATTAATCTCGAAGAGATTAGATTCGACGAGGAAAATACCGTTATCCCGTATACGAGGCCCCATAGGTGCATTGCCGAGGAAAAACATCGAGCACTGGTGGGTTGGATGGATGGCGAGGGCTTAGTTCACGATTATGAACAGAAAGAGAGAGATATATATATATATATACATATATAAGGAAAAGGCACGACAAAAAAAATTAACAAAAGATGACAGAAATGGGGGAAAAAAAAAAAAAAAAGAAAAAGAAAAAATGAAAAAGCACAGGAATGTCTTTGAGAGAGATATATATGGGGCATTGAGAAATACGTTTCTTTTCGCAAAAATGAAAAAAAAGAAAAAAAAAAAAAAATTAGATCAAAATCACGGCTCGATGCACGGTAGATGAGAAAGCGTGGTATTTTTTCTCGCGATTCGAAAAAAAAAATAAGGGTATAGAGAAAAAAAAAAGAGTGATAAAATTAAGGGAAGATGGGGTGCGAGCAACGAACGAAGGAACAAAACGCGGGACGATCGAGAAATGTGAATAACATTTGCCAAATAACAATTGCCAACGCCCAAAAACCTCAAAGCCTCCGTTTTTTTTTTTTTTTTAAATACCTAGCTCCGCGAGCGAAACCAGCCGGACCCTTGATTAATGCTACTTTGTATTTTCTTTGTTTTCTCTTTCTGTCTGTCTATCTCACGATCCTGTGTTCCCCGCTGTGCTCGTACGCCCTGCTCACCTGCCCTCAACCAACTACGTAAAAAGTACGTAGTCAAGTGTGTGATTGTCGCCATTAAAACGATTGGCAACATTATGTTGGTCACCTATCTCCTACAGTTCATGTTCGCTGTTATCGGGGTACAGCTGTTTAAGGTAAAGCCAACTACCACCACTTAGAAAGTTTATATTAAGCCAACGAGAACTTGTTTCTTCTTCTTCTATCTATAATTACATCTTTTCTCGTTTCTTTCTTTTCTTCTTCTACATCTTCTTCTTTTTTCTTCTTCTTCTATTACTTCTTCTTCTTCTTCTTCTTCTTCTTTCTCTACTTACTAACTTCTTCTTCTTCTTCTATCTTCTTCTACTCCGTTACCATTAGAATTATCACTTGAACCGTTTTCTTTTTCGTTCTTTCTTGTTTTTTTTCTCTCTCTCTCGGTTCAATTTGTTTGCTCTTGGTCGAGCCTCGCGTTCAACAATTTGGAAGCTTTGAATGCTGTCGAGATCCGCACCATCGGGAAATATTCGTTTCCTTCGCGAAATACGGGGTAAAAAAATTCGAGCATTGTCTTTCTTATTTTTTTTTCTTTAACCCTCTCTTCTCTGTTCGGCCGAACCCCGAATTTCGCGATGCGCAATGCACATCCGATAACGTTCACCGAAATTCACCCGATTCGATTATTTTCTTTTCTCGATTCTTCTTCTCGACTCTACAAAGGAGAATATCGGCAACTGATAGCCGACATGATCCTTGTTGCGCGTTAGCTCACCGTTATCGGTTGCGTTAGCCAGGATCGTAAACGTTGAACATGAAACTGGGACGTTGATCGATCAACCTAGTTGACGATACATACTTAGTTGCTGCCAATATTACCCTTTGCGGAGAATCTCTTGCGTACACGATGCGAATGCGATAACACCCTCGAGCACGGTAACACTCTGTTAACGATTTAACGCTTCACCAACATATCTAGGCTGCCGTGGTTAAAACGTCGATCGAGAGTAATATCGAGCCACTCGTCACTCGACCGATGCTTACGAATCACAAACTACAAAAGATAGAGACACGTTTAACGAATAGGCATGCAAGTTTCTCTAATAAATGTGAGAATGAAGCTTTGATCGTAGTGCATGTTCGTGGAACGCGCAAACTATAGAGAGCAACGAGTTACCTTCACTTACCTTCCATTCAATTGCCCCGATTCAATTCTATTTCTATTCCTTTTTTTCTTTTTGTATTCAATCGCACTTGCAAACAGTCTTTTTAGCTATCCTTTTAGCCATCTTCGAAGAATATAAATATCGTTCCCGGAATGAGCAGTGCATCAATCGCAAAATGCGCAAATGATCGTAGATGATTCGAGTATACGTAGCTTCCAAGCGCAGCCCCAACCAGCATCGCCAGCCAAAATGCATGAAACTCGTTATTTCTCGTGCCGATAGTAATTCGACTTAAAAAAAAAAAAAACAAGAAAAAAAAAGAAGATGATCGTATAACAAATCTGATCTGAACATCTTATGTGGAATTTAACCTATTTTTGAAAGGAAGAAAAGGAAAGGATCGTAATGCGGAACTTCGTTCGTGTTGAAGCAATCGCTTTGCCTCTCGTTCCAAATATAGATATAGATTTAAGTAGGATTTCCGTCCAAAATGTGAACCAACTAGTCGAATAATCGATCTTCGATGTTCGAATGTTTACTCGCGAGTAAAATTCCTGCGAATAAAAATGAAAAGGCCATCGAATTGGACACGACGTCGCGATGCTTCGACGAGCTTTGTTTTCTCAATTGCTCGACGCGATACGAAATATTCATCGATCGTTCGTTCGAATAATCTGAGAGAACGATTTTCTGGACTCTCGATTCTAGGCCAAACGATACAGCCTGCACCTCGACCCACATATCTTACACGTATAGATATATCGTGCACGTTCAATGGAATGATCTATACCTGTATGCGTATATTATTTCTTTATCCATCATCTCTTTAATTTCTCTTTGTTCTTTCCTTTACTTTGCTCGATCACTTGCTACTACTTCGCCACTAACAACTTTGCTTTTGAGAATGGCCAATTAACGATACGCTGTATTTATCGATACTCGTGATACTCGAAGAAATTCTCGATTCTTTTCTCGATCTATCTTGCGAAGGAAAAGTAGCGAGACACGTGCGAATGAAATCGCGTATCAAGAATATCGATACGTTTGCAAGCTTGAAAAACGTTTCGCGAGGCCTTTAATTGATAGCGATGATCTGCTTCACATTAATGGAATTTTTATGTTGTATAGGGAAAATTTTTCTATTGTACCGATGCATCGAAAATGACCAAGGAGGAATGCCAGTAAGTTATCTTGCAAACAAACACATAACCTCAATCTTGGTGGGTATCGTTCGGTGTCGTCGCTACTATGACAGTACTAGAATATACGTAAACGTTTCTTTCCTATTGTCGAATTTCCAGTAACGGCAACATCGACGATTCCTACCAATCAGATGGTAAGAAGAGATCGACACAACCAATAATATCGCTCGTTACTTGTTATTAATTTCAGGGGTACGTATCTCGAATTCGAGAACGGTAATATCAATAAGCCAATCATGAAGGAGAGAAATTGGTGCCAGCAACGTTTCCATTTTGACGACGTTGCGAAAGCGATGCTTACGCTTTTCACCGTGTCGACGTTCGAAGGTTGGCCGTCGTAAGTAACCAAATACCTAGTTTCTTTCTTCTGTCGCATATAAAATACGGCGTTGTATTTTCCTCCGTTGATTGTTGGAAAACGGGAATCGCGCGATTCGAAATTAATTAGGGGAAAGTTTGGATCGGTGAGAGGCAAGAGTGCAAAAGCTTAGAGGAGCGATAGAGAACAAGTGGAGAACAATTATCATATACGGTGCACACCGCTTAGCATTTTCTCTCCCAACAGATTACTAGACTACTCGATCGACTCTAACAAGGAGGATCATGGACCAATTCATAATTTTCGACCGATAGTGGCCGCGTACTACATCATTTACATCATTATCATAGCATTCTTCATGGTGAACATCTTCGTTGGTTTCGTTATTGTCACTTTCCAGAACGAGGGTGAGCAAGAGTACAAAAACTGCGAGCTCGATAAAAATCAGGTAAGTTTGCCGAATCGAACCGGCTCTCGTGTCACAGGTATACCTACATACGATATATTACGCGCGTTACAAATGCGGATATAAATGTACAAATGTTTCAATGTGATTCGACAGCGGAATTGCATCGAGTTTGCGTTAAAGGCGAAACCAGTACGAAGATACATACCGAAGCATCGAATACAGTACAAAGTGTGGTGGTTCGTCACATCTCAGCCGTTCGAGTACACCATTTTCACTCTGATCATGATCAACACCGTGACGCTAGCGATGAAGTTTTATCGACAACCGGAAATCTACACGCAAGCATTAGACGTTCTTAATATGATCTTCACAGCGGTGTTTGCCCTCGAGTTTATCTTTAAATTGGCGGCCTTTCGATTTAAGGTTAGAAATTCGACTCGTTTCCTCGATCGATTTTGCGACTGACGAATATTATCGCTCGATTACAGAACTATTTCGGGGACGCTTGGAACGTTTTCGACTTCATCATAGTTCTCGGAAGTTTCATCGACATCGTCTACTCCGAGGTTAATGTACGTCGTTCGAGCATTCTCGTTCTTGTTTCGTTCCTGCACCACGGGATTTTTATTACATTCTCTTATGATTTCAGCCTGGTTCGACTATCATTTCCATCAATTTTTTCCGGTTGTTTCGAGTGATGCGACTAGTCAAATTGTTGAGCAGAGGGGAAGGTATAAGAACGCTTCTCTGGACATTTATCAAATCTTTCCAAGCTCTGCCCTACGTAGCATTATTAATCATAATGCTATTTTTCATTTATGCCGTGATAGGCATGCAGGTAAAATAATGTGGAATCTTATTATTTTTTTACAATTAATTAACGAAATGAAAAAAGGCAAAGTAAAGAGAGAGGGAATATCTTTTTCAGGTATTTGGAAAAATAGCAATCGACGATGAGACGTCGATAAATCGAAACAACAATTTTCAATCGTTCCCGCAAGCGGTATTGGTCCTGTTTCGATCGGCTACAGGTACGTGACTCTTTAGACAGATTTTTAAAGATTTGAACGAATTTGAACGATTAAAAACAACGGTTCATGGCACAGGCGAATCTTGGCAGGAAATAATGATGGACTGTTCGGTGCAACCGGGTAAAGTAAAATGCGATCCGAACAGCGACGAAGCGCTCAACACAAATGGCTGTGGATCCGACATTGCATTTCCCTACTTTATATCTTTCTACGTTTTATGCTCGTTCCTCGTAAGTATACATTTATTTATATACATTTATTAATGTCAAATACCGCGTCTCGAAATTGACTCCTAACCAATTTCAGATCATCAATCTGTTCGTCGCCGTAATCATGGATAATTTCGATTACTTGACGAGAGATTGGTCCATCCTGGGTCCCCACCATTTGGACGAGTTTATTCGTCTCTGGTCCGAGTACGACCCCGACGCCAAAGGTCGTATCAAGCATCTGGACGTGGTCACTCTTCTCAGAAAGATATCTCCGCCGTTGGGTTTCGGTAAACTCTGCCCTCACCGCGTCGCATGTAAAGTTGGTATCTCGAGCTAAACCCGATCGTTGGAATCTACCCTTCGTTCTTCATCGATATCTCCCTTCTTTTCAGAGACTAGTCTCGATGAACATGCCGTTGAACAGCGACGGTACGGTTCTGTTCAACGCGACACTGTTCGCCGTGGTGAGAACCTCGTTAAGGATCAAAACCGAGGGGAATATCGATGACGCGAATGCCGAGCTGAGAGCGGTGATCAAGAAAATTTGGAAAAGAACCAGTCCCAAACTTCTGGACCAAGTGGTCCCGCCTCCAGGCGGTATTTTATCATACACTGTTCTTTCTATGAACCTTTCTATGTATCGTTGGAAAAATATTAATGGAACGATGACGATTTTCAGGCGACGACGAGGTGACCGTTGGTAAATTTTACGCCACATTTTTGATCCAAGACTACTTCAGAAGGTTCAAGAAGCGGAAAGAGCAAGAAATGAAGGACGGCGACAAAGAGTGTCACAATACCGTCACGCTTCAGGTAATTTAATCTTATTTTTCAAGAATTGGAAATTGAATCGAAAATTGAATTCGATATTTTTCGTTCTAAGGCCGGTCTAAGAACTTTGCACGAGGCCGGACCCGAATTGAAGAGGGCCATTTCAGGGAATTTGGAAGAACTTTTGGACGACAATCCGGAACCTATGCACAGGGTATAGGAGATATTTGAATATTCAAATAAAAATGATCTTCAACTTCGGCTTCAACGTTCTTTTTTCTTGCTTCACAGAGGAATCATTCGTTGTTCGGCAGCGTTTGGTCGAGTATGAGGAAAGGGCATCACAGTTTCAATCGGGCCAGATCGTTGAAGGTGAACTCGACGAGCAAGGTAAAGGATCGCTTGAAAAGGAATAACGGATCGATCGATATTGATTGTTCAATTTGCAGGCTTCCCCGACAAATTCCATCGACTTCGTGCCGTACTCGTCGTTCCACAGAGGTGGTGGGGATCCATCGAATCAAATTACCGCGAGATCTCATCAAGTGGTGCCGAACGTAGCAGGGTTAGTTTTTCGTAAGGACGATGAAACGAGATCGATCGAAAAAATATATATAACAATTGGAAATCGAATTAAAAAAAAAAAAAATAACGTGTTTAGCGGTTTGAGCGACAGCGCGATGAACCAAATGGGGATCGACCCTAAGTTGACCGGTATCGAGGAGAGCATACCGCTGAGACCGTTGGCCGTGTTCGGGAATCCCGTCCAGCAACAATCCTATCACCACACTTCCTACAAAGTACTCGAGTAAGTGGAGAGGATAGTCGTTAAGAGTTTCGTTTGGTTGGTGTTCAATAATCGTTGGTAATCGACAACGCGGTAGAAGATACGCGGCTACTAGATTTCTAGATTTTCACGGGGATTCCGCGTGGAAAAGTAGAGAGAAAATCTGGGAAAATAGGGATAGGTTTATAAACCGTTGTCAGTGATCGGTGAATTGTACGTTTCAGCGGTCCAGGTAGCGGTAATTACCTTCATCCGAATAACGAATATGGTAAGAGACGTTATGGGGGATATGGTGGGATTATTTATCGATAGTTTGCTTTTTTTCTTCTTTTTCACTCGATCGAATAGCATTTCTCTTCGCTTGCGCGCTTGCATGCGTAATAATAACCAATTAACTAACCAACCACCGGTCCTCGACGATCTCGCGACTCTGAAAGAGAGAAAGAGAGATCTAACTGTACCATGATGCAACATCATGTCGCGATATCGTCGAGCAGCCGGACGAGTTCTCGAGGGTTGTGTACGCCGGCATGTCGTAAGTCAGTAACTAACTAAGAGAGTGGTTTTTACCCGTTCTTTGGTGTTGCCCGTGTCGCGCGGTGCGTCCAATGCGCGTCGACCTCGTCGCGGCTGCTCGAACCAGTGTACAGGACGGAATCGAGCGGCAGCTGACGCCACCGACGCCACCACCCCGAAGGAACCTACCGCCACCACCACCACCATCACCACCACCACTACCACAACCCCACTCCATTGATCCTGCAAGCACCGGCACTCCGCTGCTGCACTCCGCGCAAGTCTCGTCCGGCAAGTCGGCCAGCGCGACCACCTCGATCGCCACGTGCACCAACACGTCGACCGCAACCAGCAGCCCCAGCCTCGGATCGTCCTCCAACGGGATACGATGTTACGCGACCAGGGGTTGCTGCGTCGATTGTGCCGTCTGGAGTAATCATGGTAAATAAGGATAAACACATTCTCTCTCTCTCTCTCTC